TCAACGTAGGGAGCCAATCGTGAGCTTATTGGATACCGGTATTAAAGCCGAACATCCTGAGTTCGATGGGAGACTTCTCAAGGGGATTAACCTTGATGGGCTACGTGGAGAGGATGACGCGGATCTCCACGGCCACGGCACAGCAATGGCTGGTATCATTGCGGCTAATTCGAACAACGGCGAAGGTATCAGTGGGATCGCCGATAGAGTTAAAATACGATCGATAAGGATGTCTTATAAAGAGGGAGTTGCTCCTGTTGATGTTTCTCGCGCCTGGGAGGAGGCTTTGCGATGTGATGATACCGACATCATAGTCTTCCCTTATATTCAAGAGAATTGTGGTGAGACTGCGGCTCTATATAGTCGTGTGTTGAAGAAAGCTGTCAAGAAGGGCTTCGTAGTCCTCGTATCTTCTTCTAACTCGGATGAAGTCGACAGTGCGTGCGAGATTGAGCAACCTTGTTCCCAAGCCAATGGTATACCAGGAGTTCTCTGCGTTACCTCAACCTACGTGGATAACCCGATGACGTTGGTCTACGGGGCGTCCAAATTGGCAACTCTTGCCGTACCATCCTCCGACGTCTGGTTCCCAACACCGGAGCGTGAGGGAAGCGAGTGGCTATATTCAAAGAATTCGGGCTCGTCGGTCGCCACGGCTATTGTTGCCGGGCTGGTAACAATGATGAAGAGCTTGAGGGACTTCGATCCTGGAGATGTCGAGAGGATATTATTGAACTCCACAAAGGGAAGAGCGAGAACGGATAAAGACGAGATGCTGTACGGAGTCCTCGATCCTTATTTTGCTATTCAACAGGCAATAAGGGAGGCTACTTTATCGACTGCGAGAAAGTTACGGATTACTCGGAGGCAGAAAGAATCATCCTGCACCATCTCATGAGATTATGGTGCCCATGATTGATCCCCCATTTAGATGCATATTGAGAGTCTTCGTCTCCATGAGCATCTGTAGACTGTAATGTCTGATGTTGATGTGTATTCCATGTAATTGATGAGTGTCTGTTGTCCTATTAGGCGGAGCTTCGCGTTATAGGATGGGGGGAAACTTGATGCTGCCCTTCGTGTCCTCTTATTGTCGTCCTACACCTATTTGGGGGCTGTATTCCCCCCTGGGGCAGCTATGCCACTCCAAGATATGCCTTAGTACAATCAATTCCCCCGCGAGGGGCAACTATGTCGTCTCAAGATATACCTTGCTACAATCAATTTCCCCGCTGGGGCAACTATGCCGCCTCAAGATATACCTTGCTACAATTAATTTCCCCGCTGGGGCAACTATGCCGCCTCAAGATATACCTTGCTACA